AGGCGAATACCTCTATAATTTACCATTTATACTTTGCAAGTAATAGTATACGAAATATTTCCACATTTCTAATTTTAAATCACATTTCCATACCTAAAACTCTCTAGTAATGCCAAATGCTAATATCTCTTTAATTCACCATTTCCAATTTTTATCATACCAATTTTTCCACAAACAGGCAGCACATTTCCACATTCCTAATTATTAAATCAAAATTCCATACTTAAAACACAACCGGGCGCGCGCTAGCGCGACCAACACTTGTAATCTATCAACAATAACCCGAAGGTCGTTTTGCTCACTTCCGTGATGTGCGGGTTTTTGTTACGATCTTCTAATCAAAGGAAGTGTGTCGGTACGCGACACCAAATTCGTATACATACATGCAACGGTAACCTAGGCTTCCGAGCAATCCCAAACACTTTTGGCAATGTTTTATGACATTTCTATAACCAAAGAAGCTGTACCTGTATACTCTTTGGCGTGAAGACCGTTTGTGCGCGCAACATCCGATTCGGGAGTTATGGGCGAAATAAAATTCCCATTATTTAAGCATACGGTGCACCAAAAGTACCAAAAGTCTCAGTATGAACCGCTCTCAAAATCTTGGAAGAAAACATCCGTCATAAATGAAGATCAAGTCGGAAATGGAGCTCGTTAGTACTGCATATGTGTATGTATGCGTATTGACTGTATTCCACTTATTGTAAGCACAGTATGCAACATAATAGCACATTTATAGGGGCGTATTTTATGCTGGCACAGGCTCGCTCGGTAAATTTAGAGGACATACCGGCTACTTCATCTTCCACTGGACGCAGAACAACATTTTTTTATCGCACAAACGTATTCATAACGTCTCTGTCCCGCGCTCCGCATTGTTGTTTACGAGCAGTTTATAGCGCCTCATCCCAACATATAATTACTTGTACAGATAACTGCTATCGCCAGAGTTATTAGTTACTGTTTTAACACAAGTGCATTATAATTTTAATTAGAGACTCGGGTCGTCACCTGCCAGACTCAATGTCTTACTATTCGGATTCAGAGTTTTGTATTCAGATTCAGAGTTTCAGGAATCAGAATCAGACTTGTAGTATTCAGACTCAGACTTTTAGCATTCAGAATCAGATTCAGACTCAGACTTTCAGCGCAGGCCCATTTCCACATGCTGGTAGAACAGCGGACAGCGCGGGATATTAGCACCGGAATCAGAAACTACCGCAAGCGGCTTGCGAACGTGCCTTTGCTGACAGCTGATCACAAATCAACGTCTCGCATAGCAATAACATAAGAAAAAATTTAATGAAAATTTAATACCACTGCCATGAAAATTTAATACAGTAGCTCCTTACAAAAATAATACAGACTGCTACGAAAGCTCTAAAGATTGCCGGCATCGGCCCTTTGACCGGCATGATCGAGCGGTCAGCGGCGGCCCACCGCTGGTCGGCGACCCCAACGGTGGGTATGCACGGTAAAAGCCCTAGACTATAGCAGACTGGGGACCCCTGACGTCTGGGACCCTAGTCTCGCTCTAGTCTGGAGCTAGACTCGGCGACATCGCTGTCCAAGTCGGAAACTCTGCCGACGTATCCTCACAGCGCGACTCGACTACAATCTCGTCGAGCAGATCCTGGTGCGCTATGTTAAACTGTTGATAGGGCGCGTCGAGGACGAGGTAGTTCTGGGCGCAGTCCCGCCCCACCAACCCGGTTAGTTCCTGCTCTAGTTGGCTAAAGTGCGGCCGTTCATCCGGCAGAAGGCGCCAGCACTGCACCATGACGTCGTATCTGACAACAGGACCACCGAATGTCGCATCCAGCCAGTATGATGGAATTATCAAAGGTCACTTACATGGCAGAGGGGACCGCTCCATTTGAACACCCAGCAACAACCGGGCGAGGAACTCGGTGACGTAGCCGCCTCAAAGGGCGGAGCTCCCGTAGGGTGTCTCGCCCATACTGAAGAGCTCCCAAATCAGGACGCCGAAGGACCATAAGTCCGACTTTTGCGAGAACGTCCGCTGCCGGATGGACTCGGGTGCCATCCATCGCACCGGCAGTGCCACCTAAATCTAAATGGTAGACCAACAGTGTGCTTCTGTCGCAGTCTTCCGCCCTTCGTAGGGCGTTAATTCTAAGTTCGTTGTGGTTTGCCGAGTGTCTGTTACCTGCTCGTTGAGAAGAACGTACTCCGTTAATCGCCGCGCCATCCAAAAGTCGACAGTTTTAACGACTAGGGTAAGTCGTGGCAGACGAAGACGTTGTGGGCGGCCACATCACGGTATACTTCTATATATAGTAGAGCGACGGTTGAGATAGGCCATGCCGCGGCTGAAAAACTGATCAAATCCCGCGTCGAGACCATTTTTCCGTTGAAGCTATCGTCGTGGGCGGTCTTTTTTGTTTACCAGCTGCTGGCAGCTGACTTCCTCCTCGTCGTAGTTCTGCATCTGGCCGACATCATCCTTTGGTTACAGAAAAGGGGCCCGGGATGGCATGTGATGTAACCAATAGCGCTACCAATGAAGAAGTGATGGGCTAGAATGTTACCATTGTCTAGAATTTCTTGTAATTCCTGTCGGTGTATAAAATATTTCCGTATGTTTTGACGTCATAGCTTCTAACTTGACGATGTTGGAGTAGGTTACTAAGTCACAAGTATTATTCTCAGTTACACGGTCACATCACCAGTTCAGTTGGAATCTGTTGACGCAAATGATTCCCAAAAAAAGCTGTAGTCAACAACCGCCAAAAAAAGAACTATGCTCTCGTGCTGACTCCACGCAGCGAGCTCAACGCATTCCAGTTTTTGCTGCTTGGGTTCAAATGCAGTTTGTGTTATGCGATAAGAACGCCGGGTTTGAATTTTTGCATAACCGCTTTTTCAACTGCACAGTACATGTTACTTAACTGATGTCCACACTCTCGGCTTTTTATATCCAGAAAACTGTAACTGCGCTTCTAGTGAGTTGGCAAGCAAAATTTATACCTTTATCATTATCGTACAGTTTTGGGTGACTTCAGCCCATCCATTAAATAGCAATAACATTGTTCCATATAACATCGAGGTCGAAACGCTTATGAGGTTAAAAGCGGCATACATCGTCGCAGGTGGTCGGGATTCGTTTAAGTAATGTTAGAAGACCATGGTGATACAGCACAGAAGCGGAACCGGAATGTCAACAGGGACCAAGCTTTACCAGGCGGGCTGTATTAAATTTTCATTTTCGGGGTGATCAGTGTTAGTTTAATCGATGGGGCAATTATAGAGGAACAAGCAATCCCGCCGTTGAAGGAACACAATATTCCTCTCAACTGCACGAGCAAGTGTCACCAAAATGCTCAGAAATAGTGTCAAAAGCAGTAACCGTAAAGAATCGAACAGTTGTTGTCCAAAATTCTTGTCAAGGTGCTGCACTAAATTAAGATACCGTTGTTAAGGGTTCTGTATTGTTTCTTTAATTTTGCGATGTACAATTTGTTTTACGCCTCCACGGATTCAAACTGTCGACTAGCTATCCAAAACGATATAATTCGGGCGATCCTGTACTTACGAAGCAAATACATTTTGGAGTTTCCTTATTCTGTGTCGTAAACAAACCTACGTTTATGATAGTGTATAGGGAAACTCCACTTGACCATAAGATGTGCCAGTATTTATTGATCCATATCAGAATAATTTGTAATCAAGCTTAACGTTGCCTCTTGTGCAATTCCGATTGTCTAAGCTAAACCGGGGATTGCTTGTTTCTGGGAAATTTTATGACATCTGAAAGCGGCATCGGACATATATCCCCACAAAGGTGACAGCGTTGTTTGCGTTGATAATTCTGTTTTAGTTCATTCCCAGAACGATTCCAAAGGCGGAAAGGCCAAATAATAAAGTAATAAAGTAATTTTTGACACACAGTGCAGTGTAAGTTCTTAAATGTGTGTCATCAACTTTGATCGACCGAATAGCGTCAGCCACGGAATTCCTTTGAAAATGATTCAGAGCAAAAGCCCTAACATAAGTTTTAGTATAATGATATTCTATTGGTTTGACAGACGAAAGGCGTTTCGGTTAAAGTGGCCTCGCGACGAATGGTCTCGTGGCTTGATGTCCGATCGATTGGATATCCCGCGACAAAATTCGTGAGGCGAAATTTACTTGCGGCGAAATGTCTGCGACAAAATGCCCTGCGACTAGTTGTCATCGGTGGTATGTTTGCGGTGCCATACTGCATGCTTTGTTTTCACGCATGACTTTGATGCTGATTCCGCACAGCGAGTTCACGGCCATTTTGTTTATGTTTGCTTGTGCTTCAATTCAGTTTTTACATTGCCACATTAAACGTCTTAGAACTTTTGTAGTGGATAAGTCACAACCAAGGCAAGTGAATGCTTTACTTCGAGACTATTACCAGCCAAGAAGAACGCCGGATATGAAGTCGGTAACTTTTGTACACCAGTTGAAGCCTTGCATGTTACTGTGGTGTACACGCTCTTGGCTTTTATACCGAGAAACTGAAGTGAACTGCCATTGAGTTGACAAGCAAAATTCATTTTGACGTAATTATCGAACAATTTTGGACTAATCCGGCCCATTACATTGTAATTACAATGTGATGGACTGGGTCAATCCAAAGTTCTACGACCGTCGTCATCTTTAGAGCCCTAACGATTGAAAAGCCAACGTGAATCAACACATTGTTTTGCAATGGAAAAGAACTACTGGATCTGCCGGAACAGCCTGGAAAGTGCTTTTTTCAACGGTTGCAAGGCAATACTAATAGTTTGGGAAACCTTTAGTGGCTTGCAGTTATCGATGGACGGGGACAACTATAGTGTTAATTCTTCAGACGGGAGACCGATCCCTCTCCCTAGTTTGATTCAGCCTAAAACGTTTACGGAACAGCTAAACAAGTTCAGCTTACCAGAATTGACAAAGTCTTGTTTTACTGTTTGCGCAAGGGAACGAGCAAACAAGGATGAAACAGAATATCACTGCAATAGCCCGCTTTGATGATATGCAGTCAATTCCTTGCTAATGCAAATCAAACTTTGCTGGCTTTTTCGGTCCGCGCCGAAGCGGCGGTCCGTCAACATTCACAGGGTCACACCTGGTCTGGCTTAATACAGGCTAACGCCTGCAGAGCGATGCAGGAGTGAACTGTCGACAGGGAATGGTTTTACGAGGCAGAAAGGTCATATCAAATTTCCATTTCCAAACTGATCAATGTTAGTTTAAGCCTGCAGAAATAACTTGGCAAATGTAGACAATGTCTTCGACTACATAATACATTTTTCAAGGGAATTGCTTTGAATCACCTTGCACATTTCTTTGCCATAGTAATCAGCGCCGTTTCCTGCTAGTTTTGTGATCATTCCCAACCACCAAGATGTTTTTGCGGGCTGGCCAAAGCTTGTCCGCGACTGCGACAAACCAGCTTCCAACGCATCCCACACGGCACCGCTAAGGCCGTCAGTCACCTGCATGCGGGGCGTATTGATTCGGCTGACAACTGACAAATCTATCGTTCTGGGTCGTGGAGGGGTGCCGAAAAAGACATAGTCCAGATTTACGGTACAGCTGAGAAACCGGATGAATTCACATGGAACTCGCCGGAGCGACGCGACAAAATAGCCCAGCCGGAAACAGCAGAAATTACCGGTAGCATACTCTGACGTGGCTGCTAAGCTTCCAGCTTGATGCAGTTCGCACGTGTCATGATGCGAAGAATGGCCCGAACCAATCTGGAATCGCCATTGAAACCCCAACAAATATAAACCTGACAGTCGAACACTGGCGTTCTGCCTTGCAACGTAGTGTATCATATCCAGCAGCTTAAATACATCAGTCTCGTCCTTCAGCCGGGATGCATCACACACAATGCGTTGCGTAGACGAACGAAGACATTTGTAAATGGGTGACGTCATGTAGTAAACGAACCGATCCGGCTTTGACACCTCAAATTCCGCGCTATTAATAATGATGTTGTCTGTTAAAGATGCCGAATCCAGAATGTCGTTCCACGTACAGCAAACACCACGCAGCGTGTTCTGCATGCCGGTTTCCAGACACGAAAACACTTCCTTCCATACTCCAGGCGGTAGTTCGCCAAATTCTTCCATGATACCGCAGTTAGCCGATGACGCTACCATCTCCCGAATAATGCTCGGAACCGACATCAGAAACTCCTCTTGTAGTACCGGCAAATGCGGATTCTGCGAAAACGATTTTCTCAAACATATCTGGAAAACCGCCGCACGTACGTAATCAATGAATTCTTACCGCCATACAGAATTCTCTCAACTGAATATACGACATTTTTCCACTGGCAACCTCCACAAACGGCACTGGAGCGCTGTTGTTAATGCGCTTCAGCATTTCTTCACCAGGTATGGAGCTGTTTATCGGTATCTGAATGAAACTCTTGGTAAATGTGCTCTTCTTAACGTTCGCGGGCCAAGTAGCCAGAAATCGCGAGATGTCGTCAGTACCGCTGGTGAAAGCCACTGGCGATTGGCCGTGCTGCGCCCACCAGTCGCTCGCAACCCTCCACCGTGTCCGGTCCAGAGGAACAATATCCGTGTACTCTCTTTCGTTCCACCATGTAACCACGGCCACGCCGTAAGCATTGTGTTGCGTACCGTCCGACAGATGGGCCGCCCGGGCGGGAAACCACATCCACACACCGGAAGGACTTTCCCGACCCAACACTTCCAGGTGAATGGATGACAGCGGTTCACCGTAAAGAGGGCAGGCAGAGGCATCTGGTCGGCATCCGGTCGGCATCCAGAGGCAGTTGAGCATGGCAGTGGAATAAGCGTTCAAAGGGGGTGAATTCACGGCGTCGACTGGGCATAAGGAAGTCGATGAAGAGTCCCTTGTCCGTTACGTCCACCACACGTCCATAACAGAGCCGGCCGTCGTCAGACAAAACATCAACACTGTTGGTTGCGCGGGTCCCGCTGTACATTGTCGGTTTTCACTGGTTCGTTGAGCGGTAAACTGAATCAGTCGATTAAAAGTGTTTCTATCCAGACTATGCGTTTGAGAAACAATCCTTATTCTTCTGGCATTGCTGTAATGTATCTTATATAGATATCTTATGTAATGTATCTTATGTAATGTATCTTATAGACTGGGCGTACCGGTAGTGTGGCGCATGCAACAGTGTAGATTCGTGCATGTCTGCTAATCACTCTTATAAACCAGTGTACTGAAGCTACTGATAATCCTCGGTGTTTATTCCGTATGAGTTGAGCGCTTTTCCATTATACGTGCAGATTCCAAAAACTATTAAACATGCCATCCGCATGATTACTCACTTGTCGCATTCAGGATGTGTGCTAGCTGTACTGCTGCACAGAAAAATATTTTTGGTGGTTCATGTCCGAGCACGTCTGTTTATTGTATCCAGTGTATCGACATTAACAATGCAAGACTTCTATAAATTCATGATACGATTATACCAAACCATGCGTGACTGTTGGGTTGTTTCTGTAGCGCACCGGTTACAAACTTTGGACATGGCTACGTACAATGTAGTACTACGTATTGTAATGAAACGAATGTGAATGAATAATGCGCATTATTGTGTTAAGGAAAGTGTGCCGGTACATGGAGCCAAATTCGTGTGCATGTTCAAGAAAATTTCGCTTCGAGCACTACCAAACATTATTTTATTATTTTGAATTATTACTACTACTTTGAATTATTTTATCGCATTCTGTAGCCAAATGATTTTTATATTTTATATTTTTATATACATGTATATTAGCGTGAAAACCATCTGCGCGCGGAAAATGCGACCTTTTGCAAACTTTTGCAACATTCTGCAAACTATCATCACGCTCTCATATACTAAGTACTTCACGAAGCAGCCTTTGTGCAATGTAGCATTGCACTTGGCTGCATTTGTGAACACGCCGAGCCGCCTTTGCACTGCGTGCATCATTTGGACTTGCACGTTTCCTGGTGTGACCGCAGTAGTGGGTATGGGGAAAGCGGTGGGAATGCCCAGCTGCAAAGGCGATTGGCGCCGAACGAAATATTAGTGGTGACTCGCACTTTTTCTAACACATTATCGGCCGGATTTAACCTACATAAGGCTGTCGCAAAGGTCAATATCGCTAAAGTGGTCATTGCAGTTTGCAGTCGCTTTAAAACTGCGCGGCTCCGTAGAATTTATTATGCACATTGCACTTCTTGTATGGTTGTTACTGTCCAGTTAATTGTTGAAGTAAATAAATTATTGCGCCGCCCTCGCCCGGTGCCCCCGAAATAAATATCGGTGCGGCGGTGCCCCTGGGTGCAGCTTTCTTACATAAAATACACTCCGACATAAATTACAAAATCAATGGAGATGTGGAACCGTGCCTGCATTTTATTGAAAAGTGTCACTGTACTTTTTACTGAATGAGCTGACAACGATTCGACTGAATTTTGAAATACAGAATGTATTGTGTAATAAACTCGCAGGAAAGTCGATTGTATCGTCGATCAGTTATCGCGGTGATCTTGGGTTGCGATAAAGGCCTCAACGATTCTCATAATTTAACAAGCATGTTGCTGTATACAAGTATCTGTACCTAGCTCCACATTGAAGGGAAATAGTGAAAAATGCCTACATGCAGCTACGTGCAGCAAATGCAGGTAATACATTATGCATAACAATATTGTAACGAATATTATCCTGATGTATGCCCCTTAGTGTGCTTAAATAGTGTTACAGCATTGCTAATATTATTTACAGTGCTTTAAAATATTAACTGATTACTAGTTTTGTTAAACGGTTTTGCTAAACAACATGTTACCTCTAAATCGGCAGTTCTTTAATGTTCTCTTTGCCACCGTCCTATTCCTGTCCTGGCGCGCTGTGGATGCCGCTAAACAACGTCGCACCACTACCACCGAATCCAGTGCACCCACTGCTCACGCCGCTCAACTGAATCCATACTGCAACTACACCGCCGTCAACCCAGACCACCCGACCAAAATCACCGTGGACATCCACTGCAGCAACGACCCCGACTCCCCCGTCCGCGATAACTTCTACACCGGCCTGCATCCCACCTCCTTCTTCCAGAACGACGGTGGCGCCATGAGCCGGGCCGTGGAGGAGGCTGTCAAGACGGTGCGGACCCGGATACCTTCCAAGGACCTGCAGATGCGGGTGGAGGTCAACGGCTACCACCGTCGCTCCCATGATTACCGCTACGGGAAGACCGTGGCGGTGATCGACGTCAGCAATAAACTAGCGGCGGGATTGGGAGAGAAGGATGAGGTGGAGTTGGGGTTGGAGCAGGCCGGGATGCGGGTGGATCCAAGGTTTGATTCCGAGAAGGTCAAGGTGGTGGCCAGAGGGAGTGTCGTGCTGGTCAAATGGAATTACGCGGCCACGTATTCTGCCGGGTAGATCAGACACACAATAAGAAATTCATGTTTCTGTTTTTATGGGGATTATACTCGAGTAGAATAAATATTGCTTGAATCATGAATTTAAATCATAGTTTTGTCTCCCGCCTCTGCAGTATCGGTGCGAATGATGTGTACTAGTTGTTACTTGGTAGCTAATGCAGTTTTTTCCGTATTGCAGTCGGAATGCAATATTTATCTATTGCAAAGCGAACAAAACTTTCGATATAACGCAGCGTTCGATGCAATAACAAGGAAAAAAAAATACAAACTAAATATTATCTTTTTTAATAACTCGAGATTAACGACGATTATGGGACAAACTCAGACAAAGATAAAACAATAAACATGAATAATGCTGGTTTAACATTTACGTACGCCACATTATAACATAACAGAAGAATGCAAAAATACGATAAATACGTATTATGCGAAGCGATAAATACGTATTATGCGAGCAATAATAAGAGAATCTCATATTAACAATAATCTCGTAATAACAAGTGTTCTTTCGCGGTACACGACTTTCAGTTTATCAAAAACTGTTATTTTCAATACCGCGCCATAATTTTATTACCTTGATATTGTCACCACTTTGTCGTACCATGTACAATGTAGGACGAAATGGTCGCATACCCAACATATCCACATTCAGTGCAATGCACTGTTCGACTGAGAGTCCTACATTGCAGGTCAGCTATATACCTACATCCCATCATGTTTGAAGCTCGGATAAACAGCATGACTCTGTCGTGTGCTGCAAAATGATATAAAGTGCAGATGTGTCTGAAAAAAGAACGATGCCGTTACGGTTCAAAAATACGTATGTGGTTGAGGGAAGGATACATATGTAGATATGCACATAATGTTATCATATTCTTGTAAACCAAAAATCTGATACGCAAAAATACATTACTAAGCGCCAGTAATGTCTGTATTACTTACGGCTGACCTAGTTGTCTTAATGATTTATTCCAGTCCGAAGCGGAATGCTGCATAGTACGTGCCGTAATGATTGTAGAAAAGGAAAATCATCGCTCATTCGGATAACGCACTAATCTTTTCCGGTTGCAGTATGTATGGCAAAAAAAGGTTTTTGTGATAGTACTGTACTTAACATCCATGCGCTTCGAACGCGGCATCAGTACAGATCTGTACAGTACCAGTACAGATCTGTACAGTACCAGTACAGATCTGTATTCTGTACTTTATCGATTACATAGTTTGTCAACAACGTCGTCATTTCCATGGAAAAAACAAGTCCAAGAAACGGTCTTTGTAGCGCGGCACGCGCATCTGGTTTGCGAAATTCTCAAGTCAAGCGCTTGAAAGCGACTAGAGAATACAAAGGTTGAGCTATGTTTCATCATTTCCGTTTTCGATAGCGCAAACCTGGTAAATAAATCGCATTTTACACAGAATAATGGCATCAACACTGAGTCAAATGACATCAAAACTGAATAGCATCCGCTGCAGATTCCAGCGAAAATGGTAGTCACGCAGATAGATTAGCATACTGCGATTGCGATGACACCATGAACCATAATAATATTATGACATACTGCATTCAGTGCAGTGCAGAAGTAAACGCTCCCAGTGGCATATAAAAACCCCATGACAAGCTTTTACTGGCAGTGCTGTTCGATTTATTTGCTTTTTTGAGTAGGCAAGTGATTCACTGCAGCCCATTATCTGAAACAGTTGCTTCTCCGCTACAAGTTAACTCGGCAATAATGTCGAAAATTATATATGGAGCTTTGATATTCTGCGCCATGGTGATGCTGATGGCCACCAGCAGCAATGCCAAATTGGTACCCAACCCCGCCGATAATTCGCTGCGAAGCCGTGTGGTAAGACGTCAGAAATAATCTGGAGAAGACATAGGACTACGAACGAAGAAAGCCTTGCCTTAAGGCGTACTGCGCAAACCAGCGCTTTTCTGTTCGAGCTTCGGACCCAAAGCTCATTATCAGTCTACTAGACATTTACAAATTACACTTATCATGACTTATGCGTACTGGATATGTTCCTACATATTATATCCATACTTTATCATCAAGTTTTTTAACCGCCAACCAAATGGCCGACATCTAATTTTTTTAGTACGACATACACGCTGTTTGTTATGTGCAGCGAGGCTGATTGAAGGAGGATTTTTCTAGGACGCTCCGGTAACATGCGACGATATTTCCGGTCTCTGGTACAACCAGCTCAATTCGGAAGTGGTGTTCCGCCACGGCAACGGGCGGCTGATCCATGGAGACTACGCGTCGTACGTCAATACCGCACAGAGCCAGGCCAATTCTTCCAACGCAGGTACTCGGGATTCAACAACAGTGTTGCACAAATAAACCCACGATGAAATTAACGGTTTGCTTGCAGCGCCGTCCACTGGACCGCTGGTCGGTTACTTGAAGAATGCCACTCTGGCTTTCACCGTGAACTGGGTACAGCGAGTACTAGGGTAGTACGGTTAACTCTGTTAACATCTTCGTTAACATGGCTGCTTTTGATTTGGCAGGATAACAGTGGCGCCATTACCGCCTGGGCTGGAAACTGTAAGATTGTGCTCAAATTGCAGAATTATTTATGCTGAAGTATTACTTCAAATATTTTAATATTTTATTACTTTTGATAATGATACAAAAATAACGTTGATACGTGTAGTGTCGACGATGTTATTTGGTTTAAGGTTACGTCGACAGCGAGCGAAATCTGGTGGTGATCAAGACCTCATGGCACTTGGTGCGAAAGCAGGATTCCCTCGCCGATTCATGGAAGGGCGTACTGTAAGTGCCCTTAAATGCTGGAGAACATTGTTCCTATTGCGGAAGAGCACGGGAATGTATTCCCTGTGCGGAAGAAACTAAGCAGTAACCGACTGAAAGACGTTTGCATTCCTAACGTTAGACTTGCGCTCCTCGAGAATATGACTGTATGCTCATAATCTCGCATTCTGGCTGTTTGTATGTAGTTGCTTTCGATCAAGATATATTTTTTAATATTTTGTAGATCTGGCCAGGACGTGTTTACCCGACAGCGCCGGCCGGCCACGTGCTACTGATACAACATGGACGCGATCGTTCCAGTGCCACCTAATCCCATAAGCGCATAATGCATGGTCTTATCATTAATCTACCCTAGTAATTGCAAAAGTAGCCCTGCTTTCTGTGCTCTACACTGTTTTATATTCTTATGGCATTACTATACATTAAAATATATAATTGTGCGACTCATGCAACAGAGATAAAAAACCTTTCGCACTACCTTTCCCTAAGTACGTATAACACATTTTGGCAATACCTTTTACTCTGCAGCCAACCTTTTCCGGCATTGTTCCGCTTTCTCGGGTATCAATAGCTATGACTCATATGAGGTAGTAATAAAAGGTATTAATAAAAGAGACTGTAACTAGAATAGTAATTATCGCTTATAGATCTTTGTCAGCGTTCGATGTTTTCATGGAAAACAAGTGCCGTAAACAGTTTTTGCAACGCGTATATCGGAATTTACGATCCGAACTGACCCATCGGCAGAAAGAGAATCCTAATTAAGATAATGCAACAAGGCAATGGTTCGTCGGTTTGTCATTTCCTCCTTGATAATTCGTAACCGGTAATTAAGTTGATGACAGTAGCAGTAATAAATTTGCGTCCCCACTTTATGACTTTATAACTGGTTCCAGGCGAACGCAAAACTAGTCACTGAGTGAGCGTTTAACATCAATTATCTATATGGCATAAACCGTAATAAAGCTGTATTTACAAATCAGATGACATAACATTAGCAGTAATAAATTAACGTCACCACTTTATAACTTTCTTGTAGTTCTAGTAGAACTACAATCTGGCCAAGACTAGTCACTCACCATAGTCAGATAAGTGAACATACTTTTACTGCGATGAGCGCTTAAACATCAGAGCTCAATATTAAATTATGAATAACATGATACTGTTATTCTTCACTGGTATACTGAATGCTCTCAGTGTCTTATAAAACCTTCCACCACAATTTTGTTTTTGACCGTATTTTTTATAGCTACTTGGAAGTTGGAAGTCAGCGACGTTCATTCCGACTGTAGGCCTGTAATGCGTTTATGCACATGACGTGTGGGAGTAGGATCACACGCCGGGATGTACGTACGGATGCTGACTGTCCGCATTCCACCTGCAATATAACGGATAATCTAGTCAATCTCTACTGTGATTTGCTGTTCTCTTTTACTAGCGATGTATGTGATGTCATAACGCGAAGTCTATATAAGTTTTGGTTGTCACTAAAATCGGAAGCAGTCACGGATCAGTAGTCTGAGATTTACTTCTGAGACTGCTTCCTAATTACGATTTCCTTGCGTTGTGGACTGTGAAGTGCATTAATAAAGAGACAGCAATACTTGTTCCTTCTGATGTACATGATCGTTCCCGGATTATTGCATAGAATACAGGTTTGCTCGTGACACAATCGTCCTAGCTCTTTGTTGATCCTCATAGAAACTGCGACCGGAAGTTGTGATTGGAGTGTTCCTGCTTAGGGATTCCTGAGTTCCTGTGCTCCTGAGTCGTCATTTCCACCGTAGTTTATCTGTTACAGTTTGAGATGAGAGTTGCCTACCGATCGAGCATTACAGGCGTGGAAGAGTAAAGATTGTTCATGGAGCCTTAACCGGTGTGAACGCTTATACGACACACAATAATGTGATAATAAGAGTACCACTAGTCCTATTACATTGAAGAACAAATTCTTTGGATTTCTATACCCAGTTTCTTTGTAAACGAAGCACTGCATAAGCTACTGTAAGTCAATATTAATTTCAAACGCATGAATTCTTGTGTGGGTGCGTTAGAGAATCAAGAAAGTGCCCCGTTTCCATGTCAGATCCGATCTTGTGTATCTACTGAATTTTCAACGTTCTTTCGGTGGTGCTTTTCAGTAAGACGACTTTTTAGACGAGGGCCTCGGTAATGGAAATCTCCTAAAGGCTCTGCCAAATGCACAGATAAAGGAAGCAACGAAATCGCCAATTTTTCATTTTCTTGCTGAATCCAAAATTCCCATTAAATTGCAGTGTACAGGTACTTACTGTTTGTAATACGCGCCTTTTCATTGATTTGCAAAATCAGATCACCAACACGAAAGGAAGGCGAATTTTGTCCTCGTCATCATGACGAATGTCTCATTGTCCAAAGTGAAGCCTTCGCATTGGAAAGGGATGGGTCCATTGTTGTCGCAGAGCACAAGATTCTTCGTATGGCTCACCGTATACTAGGCGAATCCGTTAAGACTTTTTGGCAATTCCCAAAAGGACACCGTTTCTAACGCACATCCAGAAGTTCAGAACCTTGTCGGAATTAAACGTATCAGTTTCATAAATGCGGTTGCGGTCTAAAGAGGAATGACGGTATCGACTTCTGTTATGTGATCTACGGGGGCCATAACTGCTCACCACATTTCGTTCCCTATTCCGAAACGATTCGATTACCTTATCAATCCGATCCGGTGCTTCGAGGGTTCTCAGGGATTCCGAAGGAACGATATGGGGAGGTTCCATTCCATAATGCAATTGTAACACATGGTTTGTACCGTATACTGTATTTTATTAAGTTCAAATCGCGACACATGGTTATCCATTCGCGTTGACCAGTTATCAAATTTGTTCAACATCAATTCCACACCGTTGCCTATGCATGTGTATTTAAGCAGATAAGAATATTCAGGATCAGGGCATTACGCACCTGATGTCTTTCATGTTGTAGATTTGTAGGATATAGGTAGCACAATCCATGACAATGAAAATCCCGTCGAAATTGCCGACAAAGTTTGCGATGCGCTGAATTCCCCCAAAAAAAAACTTCCTCCTCCTCTGGTTGCTTGCGGCCTCCAAACAGCCGGAATTACTACGGTTATTAAAATAAGAAAATAACAAAGTGAAAGCACACGCATAACGTCGTGCCATGGTTAGTAGCAATGGAGTTACGTGCTATTCGAATAGTTACGAGCATAATGTTTAGAAATACGCCAAAACCGGTTGCAACGAGAATGCCAGCACAGGCCCTCCAGCTAAAACAGTATAGCAAGTCTGCCAACAAAGACATTTATTAAGAATTACCAAAGAACTGTCGAGCTTACCAAGGACTGCCACGTTTGATCCTGCAGCACAATATCGAGCGGCGCGTACTGGCTCATTGTTTCGTATAAAAACGATTAAAAGGCAAACCAGTTCCGTGTATTCAATTGTTTACCGGTTTACTTCTCAACTGCGTTATTTCAAAGCGCAAACTTCTTCGACAGTATAGGTAACTTCTTCGGCGCAAACTTCTTCGGCATTATAGGAATACCGTAAAGAGGGGCGTAGTGGATTAGCAAGGGCCATTGCCAAGAACGGTCATCGGTCGTTTACAGGTTTTCTATTTATCATATCCTTGATTTCTTAAATAGATAAAAAAAATTAATGATGATGCAATAAATCTCTACCCGACTGCATACCTTGGTTCGCTTAAGGGATTTGGCCCGGTACATAGCACCAAATTCGGGCACATACGCGGGAACTTTCGCTATCGCGCACTCCTAAACACGTTTTTGCATTGCTTTATGACATTTTGTAGCCAAAGGATTTGTATACGTAGGCGTGAAATCCGTTTGCGCGCGCAACATCCGGTTCGGGAGTTATTAGTGAAATAAAATCCCAAAAGTTTAAACGCGCGGAGGTGTACCAAAAGTTTCATTATGAACCGATGCTCTTCAAATTCTGCACGAAAACGCACATTACTATGAAGATCGTTTTGGTACCGAACCAGCTTTCTACCATTTTTTTCAAATTTTAAACAAATTTTTAAAATTTTTGAAATTCATTTTAAAATTTGAAAAAAATGGTAGAAAGCTGGTTCGGTACCAAAACGATTTTCATACTAATGTGTGTTTTCGTGCAAAATTTGAAGAGCATCGGTTCATAATGAGACTTTTGGTACACCTCCGCGCGTTTAAACTTTTGAATTTTATTTCACTAATAACTCCTAAACAATGAAAAGTGTTTATGAAATTTATGCTATGTATGGAATTTAACCGAGATGTTCAAACAGCATTTTCTTCCCTATTCATATTTCTACGTGATCCAGATGTCCCACCCGACTATCCTAGTGTTACTGATGCATTAAAGCACCGATACCAAAATCATTTCGACTACACCTATGTGGCAGAAGAGGACGTAAGTTGCAAGTACATTAATACGGAGAAAAATACAACGATTGTAAAATACTGAGTAAACGCTAGAGACCATTAAAGAACTAACTAATCCTTTTTTGCAGTATACAGGGTGAATCCATTTGCCATGGCCTACTATTACGTCGTTGCCATTCTTGTCCAGGTATCTGCCAACACAATTTTTCCATGTGAAAACTTAAGTGTTGCGCCGTTGTTTCGCCAGTCCAGAATGGGTGTTGAAGTTAATTTTTTCCACGGTTGCGGCACAGCTTCAAATTGCAGTAAGACTGTCTTATTTTCACCTTTGTATGTAAATACGGCTTTCAGGTATTAAGGATTTCCGCAACTGCCGCTGCGGAAACTGTCCTCGCCGTTACAGATAACTCGACAATGACTTTTGCTAGTACGGTAGCATCCCAGCCATTATTAACGGTGAACACAGCCGTTCCTAACATATTGCCGAGTGTGTCAGCTATTCCGCCACCTGCTTCTGTCATCAGAGCCGTTGCGCACTGTTACAGTGACGAATTTCTTTGCCGAAAGGAGAACCGTTGTGTGCCGCACTTGGTGGTATGCAACGGTGTGCAGGAGTGCCAGGATGGCTCCGATGAGGCCAACTGCACCGACTGCCTTCCCAACTTCCGCTGCTGGTCAGGAGCATGTGTTCCCTCTGGGCTTGTGGTCAGTCGCAATGGCATATTGATGGCCTCATTGTGTAATGCAATGATGTATAAATCTTCTATTCAATCATTATAAAATAAAATTTAAATAGAAATCAAATTTTAAAATTTTAATAATAAATTACAAAATGAAATACTGTAATTGTAAAATAAAATGACATCTTATAAAATTTCAGTCTTTTACCTGCGTGTTGGGAGCGCTGAGATTTTCTTCCAAAAAAATTGAAAAGTTTATTGTGTATGCATTACGCATTAAATCTATGTCTTGTACAGTGCGATGGTGTAGAAGACTGCAGCGATGGATCCGATGAGCGCGACTGTTCACAAAGCGTCTGCCACGCGGCGGGAATGTTCAAATGTGTTACGGGATACTGTCTGGAAAACGATAACCGCTGTGATGGAGTAGGCGACTGCTTTGTCATGGGCTTGCCAGTTGACGAGTTAAACTGCATTGAAACGGATAACACTTGTACTAGTCCCAATCAATTTACCTGCCATCAGAGCCTACGGTGTATTCCACTGCACTGGAGGTAAGGAATCTGTTGTCAACTGGAATTTTGTTTGTGCATGGAAGCTCGATCACCCCTCCAGGTGGACCAGAGCCTTATAACCCAATCAAAAACATTTTGGGTGTTGGTTTGATTAACACAAACAGAGAAATAAAACATTGATGTGTTTCTGATGCAGTTGATGTTGCGCTAGGTGCAATGGACGAATTGACTGTCTCAGTCATGAGGACGAAATTAACTGTCAGTGCGATGCCGGAAAGTTTTCTTGTAAAGGTGGTGGCGGTTGCATTGATGCCAGGTACATAACACATTTTCCAAACATCAGTTGTAAAACGAGCGTACACACCATACGCTAAATTTTTGGTGAGTTGTTTTAACAATCTATATGTCTACCATGGTACAGATTGCGCTGCAACGGAGTGGCGGACTGCCCAGATGGATATAGCGATGAAAAAGACTGCTTCCAGCTACAACATTCTGGATTAGTGCAGGCACGAATGCTGGATACCGAATGGCACACTCTCTGCACCCACGGATGGAATCTTCGAGCGGCTAACAACATTTGCCAACAACTTGGATACCGGTAAACTCACACTGAAGTTAACCAACATCCTGTAATACTTAACTGAAGTTGCTACTCTTGTCGTTGCGTACTTTGAGCAGCTAATTACCAAGCAGAACATCATCCATTTTAAATAATTACGCGTTTGAATTAAGGAAGCTTGATTGGGTCCGATTCGGTGATGTACATATATACTGTGTTATGTAATATGTAGTACTGATTTAAGAACATACAGGGTAAAAGGTCGATGACAAATCATCCTCTTCGGCGATTTGCCAACTTCAGTTAGTGTTTGGTAATATAAACTAAATGATAAAACGAAAAATATAGAGCTGAAGCAGTTATTATCGTACAGTGGACTCCATAAATGTGGTTACACTAGACAATCGGTCCGAGGACCGATATTTTAACGGCAAGACCAACAGCAGACCAAAACAAGTCGGTCATGTCCACTGCGCGTAGACTCACATGCTAAACTCAGTCACTTGGAACTTGCACATTTCTTAACGAAAACCATCAAGCGATCTCTCAAAAGAATAAGAAAAAAATTCTAAGAATTTTGATACCAAACAAATTGGTTTTTATTACATCTAAAGGAAAATCGTGGCTCCTAAAGTTTCCCGTAGACACCGCCGTTCTAAAACTGCGCGAACATGATGTTCTTACGAAACCTTAATGCAGCTATTCGATACTGACTTCCTGTCGCCAGTACGAATGCTGGTGGACTGGATCACAGCCACAACGGACCTTCCATCTCCCACTTTTCTTGTGTAAATAGTCCACTGGACAAGAACGCCTGTATTCACGTGCGCAGGCTGTTAGCATAGGATTTGAATCCACGGTTTGGTTTGTTTTCACGCATATGCTTTATCTACGGGAAACTTCAGGAACCTCGATTTTCTCTTAGATGAAGAAAACGAATTTGTCTGGTATCGAAATTCTTAGAATTTTTTTCTCATTCTTTGAGATATCGCTTGATGGTTTCTGTTGGGAAATGTGCAAGGTGCAAGTGTAAACATCAGCAGGCCGATGGCCAGCACGGAATTGGCTGTCTGAGTACAGATAATTATCTGGTTGCGCGCGGTTTGAGTGTAACCACATTTATGGAGTCCAGTGTAACTGATATACTTTATCACAGTGTATTCCTGTACTGTAGTACACATACAGATCACAACGGCATTTTCAACTTTAAGTTTCCAAGTACTGTACTATACTACGACTGTTTGTACCAGTTTCTGTATCAGAATTTCCTAATGTTTGCATTAGACCGGCCGTGGCAGTGTTCGCCCTTCCCGCTCCAGCCACCGAAACCGGCAACACTTTCTCGTTGAAACCGGACTTCAATGCGACGCTGCCCTTGCTGCAACAGCTGCACATCTCCTCACCTGACACCTGCTCCGATCCCAATTCCCGAGCCGGAATTACATGCGAGGACTTCCGGTGCCAAATCGCCAGTGATCCCGGTGTCGGCAATCAGGTCAATTTGCAATCGGCTATTGTGAAGATTACGTTCGACGGTGATGCCTTCACGGTGTGCAATGGACACCTGGTGGCACCAATCTGGATTCTGACGTCGGCCAGCTGTTTAATGCAAAATAGGTACTAAAACTTCTTTATCACCTCCACAAAAAATATGCGTTAGAAATTTTATTTCTTTAAATAATACTTTACGTTATACATGGAGCAGATTTATCTGAAAAGCTTGTCTGGCAGCTGATTTTTGTGTTCATTATTTTAGACCGGCCAGCACAATAAAATTGACCTTTTATGCCAACTCTTTCCGCACCAGCGTGAGCGCGGTGTTTTTCCATCCTAACCATCTGACTGTGCGCATGCTGCATAATTACGATTTTGCTCTGTTGAAACTGGCTAGCGTAGTCCCGGCCAACTTGGTTCCCATTTGTTTGCCGTCCAGTGCTATCCCGTCTTTGTGCAAATTGGTGAAGTTGTACGATAACAATACCGTGGTGGCATCACAGCTGCAGCGCGCGGCCGATATCGATTGTAATTCGAGGCGGAATTTTGTCGGACTGGTCAGCGGAAGTATGGAGTGCTGGCGGAGCTCGCTGTCTGTGTGTGACGTAAGTCTGACAAACAGTACAGATAGTAACACTATCAAATTTCCCTTACGGAAATATCAACAGAAATCCAGAGTGTGAAAGGAATGCAAAATACCGCTGCAGAGACGGATGCTTTGTCGCAAAGCAAATTCAATTAGTTTGTCTCAGAGTATGACTAGATTCGGGATATATTTACCACAAAATGGCGACATACGTTTTGCTTTTGGCGTAATACAAAGTACATAATATAATGTACAATGCTTTTTGCAGGAGGACGCCGTGTCGCCGATGATCTGCCAAAGCACACTGGGTGCATGGGAAATCCGCGGCTTCCTCAGCTACCAGCACAAATGCGGCAACTTCAGCCCCAAACCCCTGGTCTTTGCCAATCTGACCTACGCCGTCGACTGGATGCGGGATCTCATCGGACCGGCGCTGTCCACTGTGGCGCGCACCAATGAATCGGTATTCTATCCCGACAAGGAACCCTTTTCGTTTGAATCCCATACTGCAGTCGATACGACCGCGCATGAGCTGCCGACTACCAGTACACCGCTGGCGACGACTGCCACGACGACCGTGGCCTCAATAGCGCCGGTGCATTTTGGTCTGGAGGAGGTGTCGGCGGAGAACGGAAATGCTTCGTATAATTTTATCATGCGGAGACCGGTTGGACTGTCGAAAAGTACAGCAGCAGGATTTGCAGCGGTGCTGTTCAATGTTGTCGGAAATATCACCGGTGTGGCGCTCAACAAGACCGTGGCCACGATGCTCGTACCGGACACGACGACGTCACCAACGCCATTCAAACTGCAGCGTCCTGATGGTATAAAAAACATGGCTTGCATGTAGCAGGATTTTAAATACTGTAATGCATGACGATATCCACAGAAAGGCAGTACAGCACGTTTCAATGCCGAAATTAATATTGGCTGTTTCAGCACGAGGCAATCGGCAGTTCGATCTGACGAACCTCGATCCATCTGTAGCATACAGAACCGCGCCTAACGAGCACCGCCAAATTGTCGTGCTAATGTATTTAAAAGGTGACCTGGAAAAGTGCATCGGCGTTCTGTTGAACTCGCGCTGGATTCTTACATCCTACGAATGCGTCTCTCAAGCGTGAGTTGCTGCTTATAATTTACCTATGCATAAGAACGCTGCCGGTTTTGCAACTGTACGATTGTTTAGTGACCTCACGATGTCGCCGCGGGATTGGGCGCTCTTCTCCGACCCCAACTCCATGGATCGGAGCTCCTTCCACATGATTCGACGGTTCGTCCCTCATCCCAGTGTTAGGTTTAATATCTATTTTTCCAAGCATGATCTGGTGTTGGTGGAAGCCGTGGAAAGCTTAATAATGGGATCAAATAATGCGGCTGTGTGGATGCCGATGAGTCCGGTAGCGCTGAACGCGTCGTGTGTAACCTATGGATACTTGCACTCAAGTATGTTGACGCAATCAAGTTTAGCAAGTAATTCGAACTTGGGAAGTGCGCATAAAAGTCTTTGCGGCCAATCAGTATGCGAGTGTTGCAGCAAGCATCAGCAGCATGCGAGTGCTGCAGTTGTATCAGTAAGCAGTTTTCAAAAGTTATCATATACAACCGCAAATTTAAGTCCAGTACGAATTTTGATGCCCAGTTTTGCCTGTAAAAAGACACAGAATACACGCCGACTACTTTTTGCATTCCTATCTTATATGTAAAAGCGCATCGAAAGCAATATTGAACTACTTTTTGCATTCCTATCTTATATGTAAAAGCGCATCGAAAGCAATATTGAAGACGACATAATATTCGTATACGATCTTGTGCTGCATTTATTCTTTCGACCAAACAAGTGCTTTACACAATCCGATCAATTCTCTTTTATGGCGAAAATGAATTACGAGTACATTTCATTGCTGATGCATTCCCTTCGTTTGTTTTGAAGGAACAGAAATTCCGGGCACGCGGATGACTAAACGGTCGGAAGGACAACTTTATTTCTGGAAGACTCCGCTGATATCGACGGAGCAGTGCAATCAAGCTGGAAGTTACAACGGATTGATCCCCGACTCAATGGTGTGTGGTGGTTTCCGCAATATCACGCACAGGGGTCCATGCATGGTAAAAACTAAGAAAACGTCAATGCGAGTGTTGACCAATGGCAAAACCGATAGAACCACATCGCAATAACGGAAAAATCGTTCGCCAGGGTCGAGTGGATGGCGCGCCGGTAATTTGCCGGAATGCCGAACAGTTATGGGAAGTGGTGGGGATCCGCAGCTTCCAGCCGGTGTGTGATTCTCTCTGGATGGCCCCCTCGGTGTACACCGACATTTTCCAGCACCGGCAATGGATCAGCGATGTAATCGGTCCTTAATACTCCTTATCTGACAATAAAACAAATGACCACAGCCGAACAGTTTTATTAAGTGACATAATCTGCAGAATGCTCATTTACATTTTCGTGTCTGGAAATTCTAAGCAAATTGTTTAGTTAAAGTGCAAACATGTCTGTTTATTTCAGTGCAGCCACAGACATTAATGCAAAAAGTTTAGTCCATTCACAAACATAAGGGATCAGTTCTTTTAGAAGAAATCCGATATCTCAAGTGGAACACACACACATTGGTTATACTGCAGATAAAAGAGGATTTATTAGAAAATGAACGTCAATACCAAGACTAGCAATCCGTCTAATATCATCGGCCAATTGAGCCGAGATTCGCAGAGCATTGCGATAATTAAACAGTAAACGCAGCGCAGTTAAAACATCTCCATCAACTCCTGGATTGAATCTTCGCAGTCGGCTTATCATGTAACCGGCAAAACCGTCAGGACGGATGAACCGTCAACCGCTTCTGCCTGTAAACCGGCACAACCGTCCGCCTGTCCCAAAAAACGTCCACCGTAATTTTGCCACCCGGTTTTTTCTGCTCTATTCGATCTTGCGACGCACTGGACTGTTTCCTCGGGGCGGACGGTTTTGCCGGTTACAAAAGCGCATTTTATAAAATCCTGGATCTTTCAGGGCTTGAAATTTTACACGGTACGGTAAGACGTATGTATTGTACACATGCAGACCTTATGCGCGGATTATGAGTTAGCACGGTTACAAGATTCACGCACATGCCCTCTATGACAAGATTCTCGCACATGCGTAGGATATTTTACCGTCACATAGCATAATGCACGAAACAGCGATTAAAATCTCCCAATATGGCCGGAAGCAGACCGTATTAGTAGCATGTGCAGCCGCCTACAGGCGGCAGTTGCGAGTGTTTAATTTTTATCTACCTATCAACCACCTACCAATTAATGTAAAACAATCAACCACTTACCAATTAATGTAGCAATGATCAGAAAAAGTTTAATCGGGAATCGGGATATTTTTATTGTAAATTTTTTATCATGATTAGGTAAGAAGACCCAAAACCACAGCATTAAAAGCTCTGGCTACAGCACACAGCAAACGACAGGTGGGGGTTTTTCTGGTGATTCTTCTGTCAGTGTCGCCAAATACATTCTATAAATTCATATTCGTGACCTTGATTTTCGCGGTGGGACAACGTTGCTTAGTTTAGAAGCATGCTTGTTGTCTCTGTCGGGTGAACACAGCCTGTCCCGTTCTATGAAAAACAATAAAAACCTGAAGAGTGTTAAAAGTACCAAATGCCGAATGTTCAATAAATCGTACTCACCGGACACCCTTCCATGAATCGGCGAGGGAATCTTGCCGCTCCACCAAGTGCCACGCGGCTCTGATCTGTACAGTGCCCCGTTCATGGTCCACGTAGCCTTAAAAAAACAGAAGTAAATTACATAACTTTTCGGTAAGTATTACAGTTTGCATGTATTATAATATCGGCTGCTAGTACAGTGAAAAAGTAGGAAAATAGAAATCGGCTATTCGGTAGGCGGTGCAGAAATCCAACAATAAAATCAGCAGCAAACGGTCAAGAGGAATATACTGTATGCAATACGCAAAACTCGCCATGGCACCGAGTTTAACAGCTTTTGGAAAGAGCTTGTTTGCGCAGTTTGTGTCAAATGCGAAACGTTTACGTCTATATTTCTACCCTGTACGATAATACTGTGATTGGAAAGGGCTGCACAACATTTGCAACAGCATATACAGTATCTGGACAAATATTATTCGGCAAGATATCTTACAATTTCCGGTATATGAAGTCATGGTGCTCGACGTGTCCTACCAAGATCAATAAAGGTTTCTGAAGGCTATTCCTTCCGTTAGCGGGATTCATAAGGTTAATTAACACATTATTTGGAACTGCTGTCACACTTTACCCACACAACTGTGAAGCCCAGGGTGGTATCCTTCGTAAAGCCGATCAGTCGTCCTCGAGTCGCAGCTGAAACATAACATTCTGCAAAGCCTTTGCGTAGTAACAGCAACTCCTGGAAAATTTACTGTAATGCGCGATTTGAAATACCTGCGCTGGAAGAATTTCCGTGAGTTTGCGCGGTATTGACGTAAGAACCGTACGTTCCGTGCAGCTGAAAACCGTCCCCGTGGCGAAATTCCACTTCGGAGTTAAGTTGATTATACCATTGACCGGAGATATCGTCACAAGATGCCGGTTTGTCCTGAAACAATAAGCGTTAGCGCACTGCACTGTACAAATTAATTAATGACGGTTTACCGTACAACAAAATTTATATTAGCTAGCTTACCGCAACGAGCGCGTTGACGTTGGGATCTTGGGAAAATCCGGCAGTGAGCACGGACAACAACAATAATATGCGGACACCAACAGCCCCGTGGACCGTCTTATACATTTTTCAGCGTTACTCTTTACAACAGGAGCTTAGGAACACGCGCAAATCACAACAGTAATAATAATAATAATCTGCGCTATGCGTCGCCGAATGATCATGTATGTCTCGTATACCAAAATCCCACACAAATTCGGTTTGCAAATGTCGATAGAGCGGATAATGGCGTATATACCACCGTGCATTCATTCTCTTATCCCCAAAATCACTGACCATGATAGCTTATCGCGATAAATGGTAATCACAGGAGGCGATACGCAGACGCTGCTGGCGGAAGTACCGTAGCCAGTAGTAGGTTCTTTTTGTCGTACAGTCTGTAGCCTCATGAACAAAACCATTATTCATGTTTTTAAGAATTCAAAACGCTCACGTAGTGAACTATTTATCCTACGTAAGCACCATGTGGTCTATGCCAGACATTTTTTCTTCAATTGCAAGAATTGGTCAGTCTTCAGATGACGCATTTTAAAAATTTTGAATACATGTATTTCGTACGGGAAAGATGAAACAAAAGTCTGAATTTTGCAAAAGGGAAAACAATAATTTGCGACACGATTTCAATCGTCATTATTTTTAACAAAGACGCTTAGCCGTTTTGTTCGACCACCCGGTGTTACCGTTCATAATTATTGTATTATCGTATCAAACGTGAGCTTCGTTGAAAGCTCCCACGTGCCATTGGAGTCGATAATGAAAGTGTGCTTTGGTACGTTATAAACCGCATTAAACAGTTTTTGATGCTGTAATGTCTTATCAAGTCAGACGGTCTAGGCGATCTATAGCTACGTATGCAAGAGAGCTTCAAAAAAACACGCACGAGCAGTTAGATTGGATCATGGTGGTGGGGTCTGAAATTGGCACTGCGGAAGGGCTAAAACTTTCCATGATCAGCGTATGGTTTATGAAGATCTGAACCCTAAAAATGTTTTTCTTAAGGTTGCTAAATGAAAACAGCGACGTCTGGTGATTGGTGATCTGGATACTACGTTACGCACTTAGGCATTGTCCCGAATTCGAAGCGAATCTCGTTGCGATACAGCAACTCCACCTCGCGAGGTGGCTTCGCGTACCGTATCTGTAGGCGTGGCCACTGCAGACAGCCACCTCGTGTGGTTGAGCAACCGTACCATAACCAGATTCGCTTTGAATTCGGGACGAGGCCTTAGAAGTTACCTCTTCACGAGACTTAGAGAGTATTCGCGGAACCTTTTCACCGGAAATAACTAACAAAGTTTCATGGGCAAAAGAGGCGTGGCCGGGAAGGAAGATCGACATCCGGGGGGGGGAGTTTCGGCTGCATTATGTTGTATCTTACTGACTGTACTATTAAGGAGCGCAAGCGGCTTCACAAAGGAAGCCAGCCAAACAGTCGAGGTGGATAGTAATTAATTTTAAACTCCGAACAGATGTATTCTTGATAATGAGAGGATATGAGCCCGGCATCAGTCAATTCATTCATGAATTGATTAGAGCTGATTTAATTAGAGCTTCTGCCGAAGAATTAATAAAGCCAATGCGAAAGCTGAACACCTGGCGAAGTGTCCTTCGTGTCCACGTGGACCATTTAAGCAATGGTGTGGGCCTAGTATGCAACGTTGCGGTGGTTTTCAATCGGAAGCGTCGCGAAAAGCTCATTGTTTTCGAATTTTTCTTTGCATTCAGCCTGATTCTTGTGTTAATGCATTTAAATGATTGGCCTGTTATTAATGGGTCAACAGTTCGACGGCGAATAATACCAGAATTAAGGCCATAATGCTGCGAGTGCTATCACTGCAACACGGATACGATTCGTATTATCGACTCCCAGGTTCGGGTGCCATGTACTGGGCCATATTACTTTCAGTCAACCTTATGGTCACAAAGAAAAAGGGTGCTTTGTTTTAACTAATGTACTAGGTAGAAACTGAATTACGTTTTACCTGGACTTCCCCGACTCCGGAAGGCAAGTTGTAATGGTTGATATTCGTAGTCATAAACAGTTGAGGGTCAACCCCATCATTGGCGCTCTTAACCTAACACTATATTTTTGTCTATGACTGCAGAATATACTGGGTGAATGAAGTAAGTAGGATTTATTTACCGGCTAGCAACTTCTGTGTAGACCTTACTGTGAAATCCTCGCTAGAACAATCTTTGCAAGCTTGCAGTCCATATTTCTCAAGCGTAAGTATCAATCATTCGAGAACCGAAGAAATTAGCGTCCGTTACACACTCTGAAAGGCCTGTTGGGTTTATCCAAAGTATAATGATACTTCGCCTTCACTCGCGTTCCGACCGCTTACAGATTACACTTTCACGTTCCGACCACCGGTCTGCATTAGTAAACCCCCCCAGCGCGCGGTTACATTTGAAAGGTAGCGACGGCAGGCTTTGCCAATGAAAAATTGCAAATAGTGGAATCCATATCGTATGGCTCACTTTTAATGCTCATCCCTCGTAAACTACGAAGCAAATACGCTAAATCAATAATCTAAGATACATGGAAAAAATTTATTAATTTTTCAAGCCTAAGTAAGTGACAATTCATAGAAATCAAATGAAGTTATAGACATCGGCGATCTTTCGTGCGCTTAAGCATACAGTCAACGGCGAAGACCCACGCAGAGATCCTATGGTCTGTCTACGAGAAAGGAAAATGACTATAACTTTTCTTAATCGCCATAAATTTCCACTTATTTGGAATCAAAAATATTGTAAATTTTTTCTCCATCTTTTAGTCCATTGGTTGAGTGATATTATTCCGTAATGCATGGGGGATGACCACTTGAAGTGAGCGAATGATGCAGATTTAACAGTAAGCGAAGGCTGCGCTACGTAGAAAAATGTAATCGCGCGCAGGGGGGTTTACTAATGCAGACAGGTGGACGGAACGTGAAGGTGTAATCTGTATGCGGTCGGAACGCGAGTGAAAGCGAAGTAGTTGATTTCCTATGTCATTACTGTACTCATCACTCTTGCACGCATGTTATGAAGTAAGATATAACACATTACACTGTATATTTGTTCAAAATATTTGCGAAACGATACAGTCACAAGTTTCCTATAAAAGTGAAAGATTTGTACTGAATGCACAGCCGACTACGGAAATAGGCGGCCTAATCACACAGAACATTTCGTCTAAGTTAGCCGATACTGGTGTTGTTCCCATGACAGAGGCCGCGTTCCCGCGTTCGATGTCAATGCTGATCCGTTGGCGCAGAAACTCCATCGCCCGTATGTTCAAAATATTTGCGAAACTGTAGTAGTATGTATGCTAGAATAGCAGGGACACGTGATTGGTCAGACACGCCCTCTTCTCTGATTGGTCAGACACGCCCTCTTCTCTGATTGGTCAGACACGCCCTCTTCTCTGATTGGTCAGAGCCGAACCTAACGGTCTGAACCGAGCCGAGACCGGACCGACCGAGACTGGACCGGACCGTTCTCAGCCGAACTTTACCCCTTTTTCTTGTGTATTTTCCCCACCCTGTCAGCTTTCACTAAACACATGCATAATAATTTGACCGGTGACAGCTGGCGATCATGACGTAACTGGCATAAGCCTAATACTCACAATCGCATCAACATGAATACAGCGTTTCATGCTAATGAATTGCAAGTAATGGGCATACAGCCTCTTTTTCTATCAAAACAACAAAACGTTTCCGCTTAAATTAACAAAAAAGTACCCGATTGCCGCCCAAAAATGAATTACTGCTTCGTACCAAAAGGCAAGGTAGAAAAGTCAGGAAAAAGCATGCGCTTATCGTAGACCATCTGCAGCTTTTTAAATAACTGCACAGTATTGATCTCCTGGGTCTTGCCGTTCCGCTTAATGAACTGCGGATAGATAACCTGCACATGGCTGTCGGTACCATCCAAAAGGCGTTGCAAGGCGTTAAAGTCCAGTGCCTTTCCCGTGCGCGTGAAGGATTGTGTAATTTCGTCAAAATCCAGGATACCTTCAGTGTATCCACTTTGCTCGATCCCCTTGGCCTAAAATAATGATCAGTTTATTTAAAAGTACGAGTTTAAAAAGTACAGTATTCATACTTTCAATTCGATGTGGCCCGTGTCGGTTTCGTAGCTGTAGACCTTTGGACCGCATGACACAATCTTGACGATATGGCTCTCGCCGGCTTGCAACTGGTCGTCCCAGTCGCCCAGGATGCTCCCCGTCTCCGGCAGCCAGTCTCCAGGGTGGTGGAGGAATACAACGGAGTCGGTGTCGTAGTACATGAGGCGGTCGTCCAACTTCTCCATCAGGGCCAGCAACACAAGGCGGGCATGGGCTGTCGTAAACGCAGCCACCGCAACGTTGGTTGCATTGCTACCTTCGTTGTAATCGTCACTTTGCCGGTAGGTTACCATACGACATGCGTCTTTTATTGCAAACACGTCCAGGATTTCGACCGCTTTGGAGCGGATCAAGTCTACGTAATCCTTCACTTTGTAGATGAGCTTTGTCCGTGACATGTCGTCTTGTTGACCCTGCTTGCCCCACAAGCAATTGAGACAGTTCTTCGCCACATTGCGCCGACCTGCATCGTAAAGCATAGCCTCAGGGTCAAGATCAATGCCTTCTCGCTCTTTGACCCGACGTATGAAATCGTCCTTCTGCCGTTGTGTCTTGCACCAGCTCGGCCAACCGCTGGCTTCCAACTTGACTTTAAGAAATTTATTCATGTACGCAGCATACACGCCGGCCTCCATTTTCTCCCAGTGCCATACTTCATGCACCGTTTGTACAGCATAACCGCGATCGAGAGCGTGGTGTAGCTCGGGGGTGGTCCAGACGCCATCAAGACAGCGTTCCGCGTCCGAGTGGCGGCAGAATTCCTTGCTTTGTGTCTCGGCGCAGGTGCGGCACAACGCAAAGACAAGGTTCTTGTTAATGGTTAGTGGCAGCACAGGATACCGGCACTTTGAGGGCGGCAGCACTTTGCAGTACAGCAAACCGTTGTACTCCCTGACATCTTTAAAATCCGAAAGGATAATTTCTGGGTGTCCGATGGGGTAAGGCTTGGTCTTGTTAACGAAGGGATACAGACTCACGACGTCATAGTGGAGAATCTTTTCTCCGGGTTGTATTTCATAGAACAAACGACTGGCGTTAGTGCGGCCTCCTTTGAATGCTTCTCGCGGGTTGAGCGGCTCACGGAGGTTTTGTGTAGATAGGAAGGCGGCGATTTCTGTCTCCTGGCGCTCTTTCAGCCACTGGCACTCCCACATTGTGGTAACAGTGTAATTTTCATCCTCCGGGTATCGTACACGATCCACATACTCTTCGTGCACTTCACGCATGAGCTTGCGAGAGAATGGCGATCGGTCTTCGGGTTCGGTACACTCTGGGTGGCCGTGGAACACACAGCCGTTATACTCGTATACTGTACGAGTAGTGGCATCCAAACCGTCAACAAAGTACGGACCAATCTTGACTTCTTTACCGTTTCGGCCATGCTGAATATGTCCATTGGCGGCACGATTCAAAACTTCTAACCACTGCGTGGCTTGAATACTGGTGCGACGGTTGCGGTGTGGGCCATGGGCGGAGAGTGCTGCTATTTTTTCCGGTTCCAAGTGATATGTACGGTAGTAACGATTACAGGCTGACGACATGGTGATACTATCCAGCGGGTTCAGACACGTGAGAGCAGTAAAATCCTGTACGAACTTGAGTGCACACAGTCGCAGTACGGTGACGTCATTGGAGCAGTAGGACATAATCTCAGCGCGGAAGTCAAAACAACCGTTAGCAGCTTCTTTGGCTTCGGCGTGCCATTTGAGGAATTCTTGCTTCTCTTTCTGTTTCATACCGTCGAACATGTACATTTCCGGCTCAGGCCAGGGCAGGATCTTGTCCCAGTTGTCGGGATGGTTCAAATTGTGCGGAAAGTCGCCCTTCTTTACGGCAACGTCAAGACCGACCGCCTTAGGCAGGCTGCTGAGGCGCATGGGCAAAAAGCTCAAAGTATCACGAGCGGTTATGTTCAGTGAGCGGTACCGGAGTTGCAGTAGCTGATTTCCCCGTTTGATGACCTCAACACCCCTCAACTTGTTGTCCAAAAGATGCTTGAGAACAAAGTGGCCGTCGTAACCTCGAAAATTATGCGCGATAATGGTGTGGTTACGATGCTGTTCCAAAAACAGCCATTCACCGAACTGGCGGCCAACGTCTAAAGTCATCGGCTGTCCATCGGCTGGGAAGCGAAACTCTGTTCCATCCTCGTATTGGGCAACGACGCAAGCTGGAGTGTGGCCGTTAACTGGATCGTTGAACGTCTCGTAGTCGAAAAAGATATAGTGCGTTTCCGGCTTGGGGCGGTCAGGTGATGGAGGCAACGGCTTTGGAAAAGTTTTCAAAAAACATTTGTGCGTGGCTTGTTGCACCCATTCCTGGCATAATGTACAATACATTTCCCCACATTGGTGCTTGGCATCCTTGCGAAACAAGAGACTAACGAACTGTTTGCAGTTGACACAGTAGAACAGCTGCTCACAGAAAGTCTTTCCGTTGCGACGAGTGGTTTTGTGGATATCAAAGCACGCTTGGTTATTGAAGCAACGACGACAGTGCTCACATTGAATGCGAGTACCTGGAACACAATCACCTGTAGGGCGGTAGCAGTATCGACACTTCGCCCCACATAGATGTCGCTCTTTGTTGCTGTATGGTAAGTCGCAGTCACCGCAATAGTAAGAGGAATTGAAAATCCCATTAACAGTAGGGACCAGGTCAAAATGATTATCTTCCAACAGCACGTATATTTCCTGCATCTGGGGTTCTTTCTTCTCCGGTATACGAGCAATGACAACGTTACCATGATCGGCGGAAATTACTTTGATTTGGTAATCCGGAAAGCATTCTTCTTGTATGGCTGCCAAGTCGTCAAGGTCGCACGGACGCCCGGTCGGTAAGTCACACAACTGAACAATTTCTTTGGCATGAGCAGTCAACTTTGTTACACCGTCTTTGCTGTATAAGTGCTTCCATTGGTTCTTGTACTGATCTTGTACGTCATGCGTCAAACGGTATTTTCCAAGGTAAAGCGCCGCCGGTAAGCAAAGATTATCATCAGCACGTACAGTAACGATCGACTTACAGAACCGCTTTGCGTCTCTGGCGATGTGACGGTGTTTTCTTTTCCAAGATCCGCCGCTAGGCATAACAGTGCGAAAGATACGAATGGTGAACGTATCATCCAGAACAGTTCGCCCCAAGTTGGCCTTGGTGAAGGCAGCAACGAGATCGGCAATATTAAAATCCGACAGTTTACGCATAGATAAGTAGATGGGGTTATCCAGCGTTTGACAACGAACGGAGATGTTAATGCGTTCGGAAAGATTAAACGATTCCAGACACATCTGAAGAACCGCCTCCAGCACCAGTGGCATGAGAACAACGGTCTCTTCTTTGGAAAAAATGCGTGGAAGCAAGGCAATTTGAATGCGGTACTCTACTTCGGAACTGTTGCACTTCTTGAAGGTACGGTCTTTTACTTTACGCAGACTAAACAGGCTGGCAAAATCCGGAATATCTTTAATGTCATCTAAGCTCTGTAAAAACGGTAACTATAGATCTGTTGTTTTTGAAGTAAAATTATTTTTTACCAGTATTTTGCTCTCGGGGCCACTATCAATATCCGTAGCTTGATTTTCCGCACCACCTGCTTGTGGGGGCTAGTCAATGTCCAACGGTGTCTATTATCAAACACGATCAGTTAAAGCAAAGTATCCATACAATGTCCTAACTAGGTCAGAATGGCACCTGAGATACTGACTACTAGAGTAAAGTAATAAATCAACTGCTAAGGACAGTCTAAATGACTGAATGGCAACCATTGTACTAACTGAGTCAAACGACGGACTGTCGCCTAAGATCATTGTTCTCACTAAGCTATTGTCTATTAAAGCAGAGTATTAAAACAACTGCTTTGGATAGTCTAGACGTCTGAATGGCAACCATTGTTATAACTCGGTTAAAGGACTAACTGGCATCGATGATTACTGTTATCAAAAGATGAATCAGTATTCTTAGTGTCAGGCACAACAGATTATACTATTCTGGAAAGGTCAACGAAGTATAAAGCGAAAGAATGCTGATTTATAAAAACATTAGCCTTATAGTTTAATTATTTACTGATATATTTATATATATATATATATATATATATATATATATATATATATATATATATATATATATATATATATATATATATATATATATATATATATATATATATATATATATATATATATATATATATATATATTTATATATATACATTATGATAAACTGTTTTGCATTTGTTATTAGCAAATACTTGTTCCAAGTGAAAAAGATATTATCGAATATAATCGAATTTGCAAATAATTTAAATAATTTAACTATCTTAAATATTTAGCAAGGTTTTTTCCAATATTCTAAATGGATCTGACGACCGTCTGTTGTCGAAGATTATAACTTTTATTCGAAGTCTTTATCACATAAACAACCGCTGACTGGTGGTAAAAAAATGGTTTTCTCCTGGTTTTTATTTGTCAAAAAATATTTACTTTGTAATAGAGTTATTAAAATTTATAGTAGTTATCGGGTACGATCGTTTCAAAAAAGAAATCCAAATAAGTCTGTATTGAAATTTAAGCTGTTTTTATCAACAAAGGTCACTCACCCAATCGTCCCAATCACCAGCCGCAAGTATGGCATCGGTATCTTGACGTTCTGCATCGGTGATAACATACGGTGGCGATGGCGGAAGATTCCATGATCCTTCGTCGAAAATAGCATCAATGTCCATACGATCAACACCCGTAAGCTGGTCATCGTCCATGATGAGCGTCCAAAAATAAGCTTCAACTGCAAGTCAGCCAGAGCGACGCACAGCTTTTAAATAATTTTGATCGCCAGCGGTATTGGCGATTGACCTAGTTTGTGTCTAGTCTCATTCAGCTGGACTGGCGATTGACCTAGTTTGTGTCTAGTCTCATTCAGCAGGACTGGCGATTGACCTAGTTTGTGTCTAGTCTCATTCAGTAGGACTGGCGATTGACCTAGTTTGTGTCTAGTCTCATGTATTGAAACTGACGATAACCGCCCACCATTCACGACTATTTGTCGCCACACATGTTTGAACATGCGCGCGGCAACGCATTTTACCCCCTTTCTTTTGTTAAGTTTTCCCCTCCCTTTTTTTATTAGTTGTTTTAGCATTGAGTTTAGAAAATACAGCGTTTAACAGATAAAAATTGTATTCCACTCCCAAACACGAGCCCGACAAATAGGACAGTAATACATACGCGTAGTACACGTCTCGCAACAGGCTGCATGACCTCAAGGTTGAAAAGCACATTTTATATCAGCATTCAAACAAATAGTACACTGCGGTTTTGGTGAAGTCTTTTTACGCTCAGCATAGACGGCAGCCGCCGCGGTGGGCACTTGCTCCGATTTGGCAACGGCTTTTGCGATGATTTCCTCCGCATAGTTTAAGCCTTTTTCCTGTTTCACAAAGCTGCAGTTGTACAGCTCGACACCATGACGCGCGTGTTCTTCCCATGGAATATCCTCCACTTGCCAGTTTTCCAGAAAAATGTTACAAGAAAAACACTGGACTCGATCCTTCGGTCCAGTAAAAAAGAATCCCGCTTCGGCCATTTCTCGAGGGTGTTGTTTATATGTCCAGTTGTAAAATGTAGCGAATCTCGCTTTAACATCAGTCATTGGGGAGTGTAACAAAGATCCAACTCTGGGACAGTCGGTTGCTTCCATGTCGTGTCGCAGGACAAGGTTTTCATCCCCTTCCCAGTCATGCGCAGTCCACGCACAATATGCACAGCCGAGGTCATCGGGAAACTGCTTAAAAAACAGACCGGCAAGTATTAGTCTAGATGGAGCCGTCAAAGGCTATGGCCAACTGACAAAAGACCGAACACGGTTTTCAACAATTGTCATATCTGGTCGCGCCATGTTGAACGAATGAAGTTCATTCCCCGCTTCTCGAACGTTACATATTGTTGCTATCGCCAGTTGATACTGGCGCTGAGTCATCACTCAGCACTACATCTAGTACATCTTTTGTAGCTGGTTCGATTCCGTTATGCGGGTTACGTTGGGTTTAGCGAAGTGGCCACATATTTCTAAAATATTAAAAATCAGTAATAAAATGGTGATGAGAATTCCAAAAATAATAGAAATTATCTCTTTGATTGTAGGTTTATCCATGATTTATTAGTGATTTCATGAAGCCGTTGTCTCTTAGTTTTGTGCTCATACGGAAGAATTTATTGATAAATTTGCATACGAATTTATCATTCACCCCTTTATGCTTGGTGAATGCCGACATTAGATCCTTATACGAAAAACCGTAGCATCGCAATAATACATAAAACATACAGTACTGACCGCATACGGTGCTGTCGGTGTTTTGTCTTGTAGTATTGGACATAATGACGTAATCATCTCCCATCCATTCTGCAATATCCGACGAATATTCCGCAGGATCACGGCCATACGAATCAAACGCTTCTAACATGTTTTGGCGAACGCAGAAGAAAGCCACCCAGTGCTCACCGGGGCTCCCAGTTTTTTGTGTGTTTGCAATATAGGCACCGGGGTATTGTTTTTCTGGTATATTATCACTAGAAAAAACACCAACAAAAATATCACGAATTTTGGGATCTGAATAAAGGGATTTTTCGATTTCTAAATTATTCATGGCGCAAAATCAAAAAGTACTTGTCTAATATTGTTTATTTCAATAATATTATCGTAAACTAGCATGGCGATACCTACAGCTGCTTCTGGTAATGGTTTGGCAAAACGCATGCTCATATTTAAATTACCTTGCCGAATGAGCGATAAAGCACCACGTCCTGTATGCCCTCTCGTAAAATCAAAGCCATAAATACAAAATCCACCTAAATTATAATCAGATCTGTCGAACGGTAGCTCTCCGAAACCTTCGTGAAGGCGCTCCAGCGTATCAAAAAAACTCCTTCGTACGGCTCCAAACTAGCCCCGTTTTCAAAATCCATATTATATCCCCGAGTTGGAAATATTTGCCCGTCTATTTCTGCATGCAAGTAGCCAAACTGAAATGATTAAAAGCATACGGCGTCGAAGTATATTCCCCATCGAATGCCCTATTCGGTACCATAGCAAACAACATAACCTTGGGCAATTGACCAATAACAAGGTTGGGCCAAATATGTTGCTACTGTCCGGCAAACAGAGTAGTTTGCCGCATAGCAACACGTTCAATGTGGTACTTGGCATTTGTTGTAACTAATTGCTTAGTTAAAGCCCCTAGAAAATCGGGCGATGGCTAGTATTTTCTAATTTTTAAACGAGGGTTTTTGTAAATTACAGATTTTGGTTTTGATAAATCGCTGTCCGTCATAAAGACTAGACTGTTTTTATTACGCACTAATTTTATGCTCAACTCGACACCTGGTATCAGTGGTTTGTCCTGTTGGAACAAATCACAATGCAGCTTTCCTGATAATTGCAATGGGCGGCACGCTCGAAGCCACATTCGTCTTAACTCTGCTCCTTGTGCTAAAAAAGATCTTTTCATTGTTTACTTTGGCTTCTTAATATGGATCTTCCTTCCACAGTTATGTATCCATGGCAAACCCAGACAGTTGTAATTGTGAAGCCTGCGCTTGTTCGGTGTAGCCTAGAAGATTTTCAATGTACTCCCGCATATGGTACATGGAGCTGCTGTAGAAATATTACGACCACCCAGAGTGACAATTACCTGTTCAAATAAACTATCGAGAATATTATTTACGGTTGTCAAGCAGGCATCATCCGTGGGCATATCCCCTTTAGAGTCAGTTACATATTGTGTTGGCCCGATATCATAATCGCGGGTATTCCACCTTTCGGTAAGAGTCGCCGGAAGATAAAATAAATGGCTCTCTAGGAGCATAGAAGGTTCGGAACCGCTTTCAATAAGGGCCATTATAGCTTGTCTTTAAGTGCGTCAATTGCAAGTTGTCGCTTTGTAAGGACTACTTTGCGTCGTTTTCGGCCCTTAATACCCGATCCTTGCTGTTGTTTCAGTTTGTCACTAACATGTTCTACAGCTTTGTCAATTGCCGATTCCACAGCTTTATGGGCCATATTTTTCATATGCGGTTGGGCTTTTGTTATTAAATTGTTCATATAGGGCGCGGCTTTGCTGAAAATACCTTTAGCAAAACCGATAACTTTCCCCCAAAAGCCAGCACCGGACATGGGGGCACCGCGGTATACCGGCATCCCAAACCCATGTTGCCGGCTAAAGGCTTGTAAATAACGATTTTTATCAAACTCGTGCTCTTGAAGTACCATTTTTTCAGCGTTTCTTGGGTCGAAAATGTAGCTTTATTATCGTGGTACCGGGATGAAACGATACTTCCGTCCCTAAATCATCTGCGAGTTTTAATTCGATGGTCTGAAAGGTGTGTTTGGCAAGTGGTACATAATGCGAATTTTCGTAAATTAATGTAGTCTCGGTGTGAGAACTGGCGACGATTGCGATTGTTCGCAGCAACGGTACCATTGCATCGCCGACGAACCCGTGCTCAATAATGTCGCAATAAACATGCACAACACGACTCTGTTTGCCCGGTCGTAAGTGTTACGTTTGACCAAAATGTAATGATT